CTCTCCTTTTTTATTGTCGCTATTGAATCTGCCTCTGCTTACCCCACTCATCTGAGCTGAAGAAGTGGACTTGGCATACTGCCGGACAAAGAAAAAGATCTCAGATCATGTTTTCTGTTGTCTAGTGCTCCCTGACAGTACAAGAAATGGGTTTAAAGCAAAAGCAAAATGATGGGGAGGAAGTAAGGGATGGGCAGGAGTCTGACAGGTTTTCTGGAGGGGGTGAGAGTAGACTCAGCCCCGAGGGGCAAGGGGCCCAGTGACCTCTCAGAAATGCATTGTGTCTCTGAAGCTGTCTCCTCTTCCCTAGGATGAGGGAGGTTCCAGGGGGAGACTGAGGAGGAGTTTGGCTGCAGCTCTGTCCTGTAGGACAGAATGTCACCAGCCTCACTCCCCAGCCTTACCTCCATAGGAGACAGGGCAAGGCTCGGCCTCCAGGGGGCGATCCATCCAGCTGGGGAGCTCCTGGCCAGAGGGTTGGCGCTGTCCGTGGTCCTGGAGCACACCTGGGCTCAGCTCTGCCAAGGACCCCAACTCATAAGCCCCAGGTCCCCAGCCTTAGGCCAGCAGGGCACCTAACCCCGAGGGGCTTTGGAAAGGCTGGGTTCCTCTTGGGAAGGAAAAGTCAGGAGCTGGGGTGGGAGTGGGCTGGGCTCATCTCTGTGCTTTTCCTCTCACCCCTCTGGTTGCCTTATTCTTTTGAACTTGTGCCAGCAAAATGCTGAGATCCCACCTAGCATTTGCCACCGAAATGTCCCCAAAAGAGGAAGTTCCCCCAATGAATTGCTACATGTTTTAGGGGACCTACCAATTTACCACAGCCACCATTAAGAATTAAGTCTCGGTTTGGCCTTCACAGAGGGTAGTTTTAGGAGGACGTTGGGACAGCAGGGGCCTGGGGAAGAAGCTGGGCCTGAGGAGGAAGAATGTGCAGACACTGCTATTGACAAGAAGAAATATCGACCAAGTGTGTTTACTGCCCACCAGCTGGAAAGACTGTTAGCTGTTTGCATATTTTCTTACTGGCACTAGAAATATAGGAATTCACCTTACAGCATAAATATTGTGGGGACAGTGAGCTACTTGATACGTTCATAAATAAAGTTGAATATTTGCCTTGGCTATGCACTGTGCTACGTGCTAGAGATTCAAAAGTGAACAGAGCAACCCTGGTGAGGTGGCTCAGTTCATTGGAGCGTCATCCCATAGACAAAAAGGTTGTGGGTTCTATTCCCTGTCAGGGCCCTTACCTACATTGCCCTACATTGCGGACCTCCCAGTCAAGGTGGATGCAGGAGGAAGCCAATCGATGTTTCTCTCTCATATTGATGTTTTCTCTCTCTCTCTCTCTCTCTCTCTCTCTCTCTCAAATTCAACTTTAAAAAAGGAGCAAAGCAGATTTGACACTGCCTTCAGAGTGAACCAGGACATTCTGGGAGCCTCAGTTTCTTCAGCTGTATAATGGGACAGAACACCATTACTCTGAGGTAACCTCAGGGCTGTTGTGAGGATAGGGAGGAGCTTTGGGGACCTGGACGGCCCCATTTCTGCCAGGACTAGTGTCTATTCATCATTGACTCAATGCTAGCCACACCTCCCCTCGCTATTTCAGGGCAAGACAGGTTGTGCCATGATGATTCTCTCTCATCATTGATGTTTATGTCTCTCTCTCTCCCTTTCCCTTCCTCTCTGAAATAAATTATATATCTTTAAAACTTCTAGTTTGTAATTTATACATTCTTATTTTATTATGTACAGTCACTACCATAAAAATTACAGCATCATAGTTAACCTACCAAAGTTTTAGCAAATGAACACTTCTCTCTCCTCCTAGGTAATATGGGCATATTAGGAAATGTACATATTACATATTCCCCACCACAGCTACTTTGGGCTTAGCCGTTATTACTGTCGAGAATTTAAATATATTTTTTTATTCTACAGGGAATAATTTCCCCATTTATTTGTTCCAAAACATCTGTATTAATCCCTCATTTTTGCATTCTCTCTGCTGAGTATAAATTATAAATTGACATTTAAAGATAGTATCTGCTTTCTAGAGGGGAGTCAGAGAGGAATAAGGCAGACATGGTCCAAAGGGGAAGTTGGGCTGATGGAACAGTTTTCATTCTTCCTCATTCCACACACACGTCTTATGAACTCAACTGTTCCCGCATGCATTTAACATTCTGTAATATTATACTGAGGGCCTACTAATCACTTTTCATCCTCACAGAAACCAGCATGAATGACACTCATTATCCCCATTGACAGATGGGAAAACTGAGGTGAGGACAGGTGCAGCAACATCCCCACAATGGGTAGAAAGTAGTTATTTTGTGGAGATGGTTCTGTTGGCCTGGGCCTATCAGAGAGGTGAGGTGGGCTCGGTGGTCAGTGTGGCTGGGGCAGGAGGTTCCAGGAAATGAAGGGGAAGCCAACTCCCAGCTGCCTGTCCAGCTGACCACAGGGGAGCTCAGTGTGAACTCCTTAATGGACATGCCCAGCCCCCCACACACACGGCATGAGAAGACACCCCTGTCACTCACCCGGGTGACTGTGCCTGTGACAGGCTCTTCATCATTCCTGACCTTTGGTCTCCCAGCTGCTTGCCTCCTGCGGGCTTTCACTCTAAGGGGAGAAGTCAGCACCAGAATGGCTCAGGCACAGGTGGGCAGCTGCCCCCGCTCCCTGATGGACAACGGAGGCTTCCAGGCCCTGAGGCCAGACTCGGACCCTCCTGACATGCAGGTGAGGGTCCCGTCCCCTTGGATGCCCAGGGGTTTGGCCAGGACTGAATGTTCATCACCGAGGCCCCTCTCACACGCAGAGACTGCACGAGCCATCATCAGTGTGATTCATGGCAGCCACAACGTCCAAGCAACCCAATGTCCCTCAATGAAGGAACGGACAAATCAAATGTGCACTTTCCATACCATGAAATATTACTTGTAAATAAGAAGCAATACAGTGCTGACACAAGAACCTTGAAAATGCCATGGTCCTGGCCACTTACTCAGTGGTTAGAGCAGCCATGGGCAAACTACGGCCCGCGGGCCGGATCCGGCCGTTTGAAATGAATAAAACTAAAAAAAAAAAAGACCGTACCCTTTTATGTAATGATGTTTACTTTGAATTTATATTAGTTCACACAAACACTCCATCCATGCTTTTGTTCCGGCCCTCCGGTCCAGTTTAAGAACCCATTGTGTCCTCGAGTCAAAAAGTTTGCCCACCCCTGGGTTAGAGCGTCGGCCTGCACACTGAAGTTCAAAGGTTTAATTCTTGGTCCAGGACCAAGTTGGATCCTTTTTGCAGGTTTGACCCCCATCTCTGGTCTGGGCTGGTAGGGAGGGACCCTATAAATGTGTCTCTCTGACATTGATGTTTCTCTCTCTCTCTCTGTCCCTCTCTCTCTCTGTGTGTCTGTCTCTCTCACTCTCCTTCCCTCCCATCCACTCTCTAAAAATGAATGGGAAAATATTCTTGGATGAGGATTAACAACAAAAAAAGTTTGGGTAAAGAACAGAGATGGGGGGGCTCGCAGTGGAATGGAGCTATCCTGGGCCCTGGACACCCTGTGACCTGGTTGGGACCGTTCTTTTTAGAGGATCCAGTACAGAACAGGTACCCAAAAGTAGGCGTAAGGAAGAGCAGTCCTTTTATTTATGTAGGGCTTGGCATCCCCTTCCAGCATGGGTAGGGTGGGAGCTGTTGTTTTCCCTATCAACTTCCACTCCCCATGCCTTTGGTAATAGTACTGTTATCCTTTAGGCTAATCCCTACCACCAGAGCTTCCAGTTCCTTCTCCTGGGGGCTCCTGAAAAC